CAGAAGATCACCGAGTGGTGCTGGGGCCTCAAAACGGACTTGTTTAGCGGCTTTTGTTTCAAGCTGAGCAAATTTTTTTGCCTTTACCCCCTCTTTGCTCTTTTCGCAGCCGCTTTTGATTTTCTTAACTTTTGTTGCCGATTTTCGCATTATTATGAATGGATTGGATGGATGGATTGGCTGGATGGACGGATGGATTGGCTAACTGAGACGAGGAGAAGACAGCCGAAGAAATCATCATAACAAGACAAGAACAGAGCCGAGATTTCTGATCCTTGACTTTGATCTTTGGCTGCCACATTTCAGCAGCGGCAAAGTTGAAAGCATTTTTCAATGATTTTTCGCTTTGTTTTTGCCTCTTTGGTTTTTTTTACTCGGATTGACTGTGGCACGCATCCCCAGTAAAACTGTAAAGCTAATTAGGGGGTTCTGCTGCCACAGCCAGTTAAAAAATTTATGAAGTGCAACGAGTTTCTTTTTTTTTTGCATAAAGATATGGAAATTTGTGGCAGAGGAAGAGGGAGAAAAAATTGCGTGTTGTATGGGGGAAAAAGTGCGAAAAACTCAGGCAACTAACAAAGCGAAATGGAAATATTTGAAATTTATTTAGATTGCTTGGAGCCAGAGGGGATTGTAATGAAATTCAAATAGCTTGCCGCGGCTCTTTCGATTTCAAAAAGTGTGCAAATAATAATGAGTTTGGTTTTTGCAAATTGAAAATTACAGAAACTCACATACGCAAAAGCACTCTCACATACGAACCAAGTAAATTGCAATAATTGTACTAATTGTTATTGCAATTATTGCTGGCAATTACCATGACTAATGTGGGGCAAAATGTTTGTGCATATTACGAGTACAAAGACAGCCAGCTGAGATACAGATAGTTGAATGCTCCAAGAGTGTGGATTAATGTCTTTCATCAAATGAAAATTAAATAAAAGTGTATTTCAAGAAAGCTCCATTATAAAAACCGAATTTTATATAGGACATTTGGGTTTAGGATCATCAAAAGAAATAATAGATTTTATTTTAGTCATGTCAGTTGATTTATTTAGACATTCTTTGACAATCAATTTGCAGATTTCCAAACCCAACATAGTAAGGATCTGTATGGCTGCCTGGACACCTGCACTCCCTTTCATCCTCGACAATTGGGCATCATTTGATTTATGTACTTGTGCACTTCCGTGTTTTCCATTTCCCAGTTGCAGCATTGACCGACTGCCCCAGACAATCGAATAAAATCATTGGCTCAATATCCGTTCGGGTAGAAAAATTGAATCCAAAAACATCAAAAAGATGGGAATCATCTTGGAGGAAGGGTGCCGGCAATTCCCTTCCTGGGTTTTTATTTTGTACGAAATACAATTAAATTTCGTTTAATTTATGGAAGGCACAGCAAGTGCTGGGAGCTCACTGTTGAGGAAAATCCTTTGCAAAAAAATAACACAAGATCAGAGGAAAACTCCCCCAAGACAGGCGACTTGTTTACATTCCCACGTCCCAGAACACACCTTGCTGCATATTCAAAGAGCACAAATAATAATAATAATGAGTGCTCATCAATAGGATAATGCGAAATGAGTTTCGGATCCTTTCGGTTCTCGTACTCCTTAGAGCAATCTCCGTTCAAGTGGAAGGCAATCCAGTGAAAGTTGTCCTTGCAACCTGACTACCTGGTTTTGCAATTTTTCATGCATTTGCAGGTGAGATTGCCTCATCCGATGGGTCCCACAAAATGTTCCCAGACTTCTTAGGGTTGTTTTCCAGCTCAATCTTATGCAAAATCACCTTAAGGCGAATTTGCATGGGAAAGTGTTTGTGCGGGTTCCTTAATGGAACATCTTTCAGGGCTATTATTCCGGGGATTTATTGTTGAGCAGGAAAGTGCAATTTCATGCAGACAGGTTGATACTTTCCATATAAATAAATGAATGAATGAGCATATGAGTAAATGCTCGAATATGCAGGTACTAGGTTTATTTGAGGGGTCAGTTCAACGGTCATAATTAAAACAAGAGCAAGATAAGTTGAAGCTAAGAATGAATATTTAGTTAAATAGTATTTTTAGCAAAATGTTCTTTTAACTTAAAAAAAATTGGTTTTAATATTAAATAAAAACCAGAAAGGAAGCCAGCTTTGGCAGTCCGATTTTTGTATACCCTTGCAGGGGGAGCATTGCATGTACAGACCTTTCCGATTTTTAGAAAATTAAAAACTAATAACAGAAATTGTAAGATAAGGTTCCATTTCAGTTTACTGTATGTGCCGAAATATAACTTTCTTGTATTATTTTGACATTAATTACCCGATCGATCCTATAACGTCTCCTTCACCGTCTTGCAAACTTCTGACTGAAATCATTATACCCTCAGCAAGGTTATAACATTATCTAACGGTTTTAGAGGCAGGCGTTTATTTGCTTACTAAACTAGAAGTCAGGTTAGTTAATTATATTTATTATTTTTTATTATTGCCAACTTTTGAAACACAATTTTCTACTCACTCGAGTCACAGCCACTCCCCTCGCGGCCACCCCATAATTATTCACTTAACACATATCTCGACTAGGCATCTAAATTAATAACTTTTTGCTCTGAAAAAGAAGAAGTGCAGGAAAATGGAAACGTAAATAATATTTTCTTGTTCATGTTGCAGGGCTCATTAATTTCGCTTGCTAACATTTTTAGCTAACAAATTTTCGACGGCATTTGCCGCATAGCCAGACGAAAACCATTTTCCAAGTCGAAAAACAGCTGTTGAGGCATTTGCATGGCTTTCACTTTTGTGGTGTGTGTGTGAACATGGAAATGGAAAATGTGGAAATTTGTCGCAAATTACTTTCACTCCGAGTATCGTGTTACAAGGAAGTCCGCGGCGACAGCTCGAATTATGAATTGAGAGCCAGCGAAATCGAAATCCTTTCGCAGGACGTGTGACACCCCCAACCAAAAAAAAAGGGGGAAATGTGAAAATGTTTGCATGTCAAATTTAATTTCCAAACAAATAGAGGGAGAGCAGCTGCGACCCGCAGTGGCCACAAGCCTTTGGCACAAAAGTGAAAGGATCCCGGGCCAGGATATTCGATCGACGACGATATGCGTGTGCCGAACCGCCTTTAATGATGATAAATGCGATGCCCTGCCATTGGAAGCTGCAAGTTCCGCCACATTTAGCGACGACGACAAAACATTCTCTGTTTTCAAAAATCATCGGCGACTCACTCGAACAATTTTAAAGCAGGGTTCTGGATCGCTAACCCTTACGGGGATCCGGGGATTGGGTTACACAACGGGCACAATAACAAACAAGGCGCGCATGCGCAGCACGCTCGGTTTAAGGACTCGAGCGAAAGGCGCATCCTTTCCCCGCACGCGCTGCTTTCGATTTTGTTCTGCGATGATCACATTGATATCTCTTCCGATACATAGCCTCCGTGCCCCATCCACTTTTTATTATTTCAAACAATTTTTTATTGGCCCTCGGGAGTTTCCAAACTTTGTTTTTTGCTTATCATTCCTGTTCATGCAAAACAGGGTTGAAATTTCATGTACATATGGGTTTTGATTTTTTTCGCATTTTAGAGCCATGCCCACATTTAATGGTCGCCCCTTTCCCACCCCTTTGGTGCGTCATGAGCAGCTGCCATTGGAATTCCTTTTTACTTTGCGCGCTCAATATTTGGTAAAAATGTGCTAAAAATCGGCAAGTAATTGCCTGAAAAATCTCAGGGTGACAAAAAACGAAAATCGAATCCGCTTAGGTGACATTTAACCTCTTGAATTTATTTCTGCCATTTTTGCACAATTTCGTAACGTATTTTTTTGAAACAAAAATAGAAAGGATTTTATTACCACCAGCATCAAGTCGAGTGTTTTCTTGGGAAACTGCGTTTTTAAATTGTTAAAAAATGGGAAAACTACAGAAAAACCCATTAAAAATGGCAAAATATTGCGGGTTCTGTGAAAGCGTGGGAATGGGTGTAGTTTTGGCAATATACTAACCATATATACTTTTTATAAGCGGAGAAAGTCAATTTTTTTCTTACAGAAAATACCGCATCTCTAGAAACAGTTGCAGTTATTATAACAATTAAAAACCCTCATATGAAAAACCATTAGTTTTCAATTAAGACCAAATGAATTATTTATTTCGCTGTCTCAAACATATCAACCTTAGCCTATAATTTCCACAGACAGCAATTGAAAATCCACTATAATTATGGGCTTGCCACACATTTTCACTTCATTTGCAGCGGTGCTAAGCAAAATTTAAATGCAATAGAAATAAAAATTAAATTAAATATATGTGTTTAATATGGGTTTACGCAATTTAAGACCATTTTTTGCGGCCCGCTGATGTTTGCTTTTATAATGCGCGTCTTGGGCCAAATAACTGCAATTACAAAACGCAAAAACGCGGAGGATCGGGTGCGGGAAAGAGAGGCAAGACGGGCGTCTCGAGCGGTTGCACATGCAAAGTGTGGAAGGGAAAGAGACGGGGCGAGCGGGCGCAAGTGCCTGGCACGAAATTTATGCAAACAAGCAGCGAAGTGTAGAAAGGCGTGTAAAAAGCGGGGGCGTCAAAAGCCAAGAGGAGAGGGACGGGGGCGAACGCACTGCGAATTATAAGCGCTAATTGTGCTCAGTGTATGCAAAAAAAACCCAAGTTGCGTGCCAAAAGCGCATTAAACAGAGCGCACCGTTATTTAAATGAGCGCCAAGCTCCGAAGAATTGCTGCCAGTGTATTTTATGCATGGCTCGACTGTCTACATGCATTGGGCGGGTTCAAGAAGAGAAAGAGAAACATTAATCATGTGTATGACAAAACAGAGATCATAATTAAACAAAGAGAAATTTAATTAAACAAAAAGTATATGTCAATATTATGTTAGTATTATAATTTATGCTTTTACAGTTATTTATGGAGGTATACCAGTATTTAAAATTAAGTTTCAACCATGTCAGTGCAATGGTGGGACCTTGTGATCGATTTTTTATTGATATATGTTGAGTGAAGTGGTTTAAAGATCGTTAGAATCGTATGCAAAGTCAATTGTTCTTCGTGTATTACTTGGTCAATACATTTATCTGTACCATGAAAAGTTTTCCCTGGTTAAGAGTATTGAATATACATGAGGTATATATACATTTGTGACTTTCAGAAACGAGTCCAGTTTGGCAACCAGCTCCCCATAATGACATCTTTGTCGGGCTCCTGCATATAGTTCGAGTTCGATCCAAAGCTGCTGCCCCAAGGCATAGAATCAAGATCTCCAACACTGCGGTTGATGTTCCGAGACTTCAAATAAGCACGCTTAAAAGAGCGCTTGAAAGGACGATACTTGAATGGTTGGGGCTTGACATCGGGAGTGGTCAGAACCAGATGTATTTTCAATCGACGACCGTCCAAACGAACCCCGTGGAACTTCTTTAGGATTCTCATGGCATCATCGCTATTTTGAAATACCAATTCGGCGGTGCCCAATGAGTTACCAAAGCTGTCGTAGTGCACAGCCCCTTTCTTCATCATTCCATTTTCATTGAACAGTTCCATGATGTCCGCATCGTTCACGCCGTAGTCCAAATTGCAAACCATCAGGGAAGTGGGTCTTTTTTCTCCACTAATCCCGTTGCCTCGAGAGGACTTGATCTTCTGAGTGGCTCCAGTCCTCTTGCGGAATTTACGAACCTTTCCAGATCCATTTCCTGGCGATATCTTCCCGGTCAAACGTTTTCCCCCAGCACGACGATTTCCTTTTGGAGCAACACGTTTCTCTTTTGGTTTTTGGCGAATGCGATTTGACTTGATGATCTCGTCAAGGCTCATCATCATGCTGTCCATCATGAAGCTGTGAAAATTTTTGATTTCAATGATTATTCAAAAGAACAGAATCAATAGTTACCAAAAATTCGTTTAAAAACTGTTTTTTAAGGAAGAAACGCAAGCTCTATAAACGTCGTATGACAGAGTTTACAACACCGACTAAGGTCTTTGGAAGTTTAAAAAAATGGCTACTCAGTTCTGTACAAAAAGTAATTATAATATTGATTAAGAAAAAGTTCTTCGAAAAAACATACTAAGCCTACAGATTCAAAATTGAAAAATAATAAAGTATGTGAAAATCGTACCCATGTTTCCCACTGCGCTGTTTCGACTATCCCACCCATATTATAATACCTTGGATACTATATAAAAAGTCGCAAAAGAAGAAGCAATAAATTCACGTTTCGCATACACAAAAGAGCAAAAGTCGCAACAATAATCACTTTGCCCATTGTGCTGCCGTTTTGTTTCGCTTATTTTTGGTGCGTAGCCAAGTGATCACAAAGGGCTGGTGATCATCATTTCCCGATTCTCCAGATCCGCTATTGTCTAGAACCGGGTTCTTCTTCGTTTTTCTTGGCCAGTGTTACAGTTACACTTTGTGTGCCGAAAATCGCAGCGGGTGTGGTGCAGTTGCCAGGGGACAAAAGCCAAATTGCACTTGGTTAGGTGAGCTCGATCCATTGTCCTTTGCGCAATGTGCAGTTCCCACGACGATGGTGCGACTGCTCCTGTATTGCGGTATGGAATCCTTCTGGACCCCAGCAACACCTCCTTTGATTCCCGGCTACACCTGGCCTTCGGCGGAGGAAGGGAGATGGATGGACATCGATCTCGGGCAGGTCTCTCCGCCGATAGCTCCTCAATTAAAGTCCTGGCTGACAGAAATTTATGACCGTAGGAGGATCCTTTTCTCGGTGCTGCCACTTCCTCGTAATTGTGCAATTGAAATGCGCTGTCAAACGGTAAAAAATCTAATAATTTTTGGACTCTTTGTTGCCTTCCGTTTAATGCTGCAATTCGTTTGTAGTTGCAGTTATCCTTATTATATCCCTGTCGGCCTGTCCTCAGAAGTTTACCTTTTCCTAAGATATTCAGGTTGCGCAACAGGCAGAGATTTGTTTGCTGAAGCGAGAAATTGAAATCCTGAAATATCGCAGATCCTGAATACCTTGCGATAAAAAACTAAATGAAAGGGAGTTCTTGGAAACGCAAGAAAAAAGTATAATGACAAAGGACACTTTGGTTACTTCAGATTTATCTCTGTGGTAAGTCTGGTTTTAAAAGATTGCGTAGATTAAAGGTATTTGCCTCATGATTATGAACCTGAACCAAAAGTTAAGTCTGAAACCCTCAACGCTTTCTATATCTACAAAGCTTTATAGTATTACAAATCTTAATCTTATTTCTTAGGGTTATCTATCCCTTTTTAAAATATCACACATTCCTGAACATTTTGGATTTCCCCTTTTAATTTGTTCCCCTCAGAGAACTTTCACACTTGAAACCCATCCATGTGACTCATTTTTTAGTGGCATTCCTGAGCACAGAAATTACCCAGCAACAGGAACAGGACTCAGTGAACACATGATGGCGATGTCCTGCCGTTATTTCAAGCATCAGTTACCCGGAGACATTTCAACGCCTTGCCATGAAAATATTTTTCATATTTCCCCGTTCTTTTTTGGGCCACATGCCGAGTGAGGGCTCTTCAGCCAATGAAATGTGCCCGGTTGGTTGCTTTTTTAAGAGTCCCCCCTCCGGTGTATCCCCTCCCAACACTTCTCCACACCAAAAGCCAGGGAAATATGACGTTATCAGCATACTTCCAGGAGTGTGCGTATTGGGCCATCAACCCCGGGGGGAAATATTAAAATGAAGGCCCGACACTGCCCGCCCGTTTTTTATGTAAATCAACCCCTTTTTTATGGCCCACCAGAGAGGGAAGCTTATTCAAATGGGGTGAGTCATAAAAAAGGGTTGCTGTGATTCCATAACGATAGGCTTATGTAAATCCCAAAGTCAACCCTTTCGAAGATAGCGATTTGTGCTTGTGATTGGTTCGCTGGCACTGATTTGAATATATAGGCTTACAAAATGGTGTACTTTTTAATGACATGACTCAAGTTGACTTGGAGTTTGAGTTACAAAAGGGGTAAATAAATATAAGTTATTTTAAATATTGTGTATTCAGCAGTCACAAGTTTCTAACAAATGAAAAAACTAAATAAGAGATTGCTAGTAAAAAGAAATGACTCACATACAAAAACCTAAGTACGCTGAAATGTAGAAAATTTAGTTCATTTTGTTCATTAATTTGAAAAATAAACGACTAGTAAATTTTGTATGTTTAAAATTTTTTCTTAAATCATCATTAAATATACATAAAATTTTTTAATCGAATCAAATTAAAGTTTTGGGGTTAAAACCATTATCATCAATTAATGAACTGCTGTATTGAAATTTATAATTATAAGAAGACCTTTTGTTTTATAGATTTTTCATTAAGTTTTTTATGAAATCACTACAATTAACCAGTTCATAATTGTTATAAACATAAGTATCTTAATATGGGCGAATTATTTAAGCTGTTTATTAAACTATGTCTTAGTCAAGGGTTTCTGACTTTCTCAACCGGATAGCAAAATAAAATCTTAGAGAATCTATTTTCCGCATTTTCCTTTGCAGTTGGCAACTTTAAATTCGAGCCAAGCCAACAACATGCCGGGGCTGCGAATGAAGCCGTCCTAACGAGTCCCGGGGAGAACAAAGATGGAACTTTGACTGCTGTTGACACAAATATGCGCGATGTCAGCGCAAATCACAGCAGCTCCTTCCTCTCGTCCTCCCCCGCCTCCTCGGCCCGCGTGTCCTGCCACTCCCCCTCCGCGTCGCCCCCTTCGGAGCAGGACGAGGAGACGAGGATGCAGGACAAGAAGCTAACGCTCGAATTGAAGTTGCAATCGTGTGATGAATATGTTGAGCAGCCAAAGGATACAGGAGCCGAACGGCTGCATCCTGCTCAGATTGCCAGCAACAATGCTTCGTCGCCTCTGCAATTGAAAGTGGAGGAGCAGGAGGAGCGGGAGGAGCGGGAGGAGCGGGAGGAGGAAAAGGATAAGGTCCTGGAACTGACCGGAGCAGCAGTTGCTCTCTATGGCCACTTGAACAATGCCAGCAAGGATGTGCGAGATTTAGAGCAGTGCCTGAAATTGCAGGACCCAAGTGGTGAGTAGAGAAGGAACTGATGCGATGAAAATTAAAGTTAAGAAAATTTTCCTTAAAAGAGTAGTCTAGTTGTACAATGAACTATATATATGATAACACAAAATGAAACACTTCTTTGGGGAGAACTATGTTTTTAAACATTTCAGTCTCATACTTCATCTCTGAAAACATTAGGTAGTATATCAAGAACTTTTATTTTAAATGTATTTTCTTAAAAAAATATATTTAATTATATTTATCCTGGCATTAACTAATTTTGAATTATTAGTCGCAATAAAAAAGATTACAATAATGTCAACTTCTTATAAATACTGGCTTTATCAAAATGTCTTAATCTTACAAGTTATAAGTTATTACTTTTGACAGATCATACATATATTCTTAAGTCAATTAATATTCTTACAATCTGAAAAACTCAAGTCTCGCTTTCTAAATAACGATATTTGATTTTTTCTGTTCCTCATTTTCTACCTTCCAATTACCCTAAACCAATATTTCATTAGGCAACTGTCCTCTGCCAAAATCACAGCTGAAGGCATGCAAAAAGATTTCCGATTTTTTACCTTAAAACTCGTGGGAAACTTCCGCAAAATAAGTCCCAAAAATAATTCACGAAGAGAGTATGTTTTTTGTGGAAAAGGCGCAAAATAAATCAAAAACCGTTAGCAACCACAATCGGAGATCTAGGTATACTCAAAATAGTAAGGAAAGAAAGAACGCAATTAAGGAAACTCGCTATAAAACTCCCGAAAAAATGAAACGCAGAGAAAGTTCCCTAACTACCCCTAGACAAACAGAAGGAAACTCAAATTTTCATGCTAAAAATTGCATAAAAAAGCGGAAAAAATGCACTTGGGGGTAGGTAAACGCCTCGTATATGCATATCTCAGGACTCGGTACTCACTACCTGAGGGTCCTGCCGATGTGTGTCCTTACTGTTTGGGGTGTCAAATGCTAGCAAAGTACCGTAGCATGTTCTTTGCTATTCCATTGTTTAGCCCCGCTCTATCGTGTGTTTTTTAAGAAATATTTCCTTATCGAGGTAGGCAGACAACGCAATTGATTTCTGTTCTTTTCTACCCAAAAAAACAGACCGAAATTTTCTGTAAGGACATAAATAAGAATCAAAGAACGTCATTGAATGTCATCCTCGACATCGATGATTCGGTGCTTCATCATGTTACCCAAAACAAAGGCAAAGTCTGAATTGAAGTTGCCATCGGAGATATGTAAAAAACCTTAGGGGAATGCGATGCCAAGGATCATGAATATTTTTGGGCCAAGGACAGGCTGCTGCAGCTTTTCCTTTTCCCTCCTCAATTTCGGAAGTGCTACCCTCTTTGGTCCATCCCCAAGTTATTTGAGTTCAAATTTCCTATAATTTCAAGCAAAATTGTGAGCGGATTTTAGGAGATTCTAAGCTGCTGATTAGAATGAGGGACAAATTTAATTAAGGCACACACTCTCGCTGAACTGGGGGTGAGTTTTTCAACTGAAATTTATAGTTCCTGAAAGGGTCCAAAAATATAATCTGCAAGGGCAGATGACTTTCGTAAGTGTGTGCAGAAATGATGGTAAAAGTAAATTTTAATTCATGAAAATAAAATTGGGAAGTCTAAGAATACCGGAACATTCAAAAACATTTACTGAAAAATTTAAATATCTTTAATTCCTTGTATTGCTGATGACGAAAATTATAAAATATTGGTGGATTTTTTTAAATTTTGGAAACACATACAATTTACTCCTTAGAATGTCAATTTGGCTGTAAGCTATCATCATAAAATCTTGTAACCCCAGAATATATATATATAAACCTTCTTGTTAGCCCAAGTTCAGTTTCCTTTTCCCATTATTCAATGCACTAAAATCTAAAAATCAGAAAACCCACAAGAACAAGCCCCAAAAAGGGAGATCTTACTAAACTACAAA